GTGTATTTGTATTCATTTTTCAAACTATTTGTATTTCCTTTCACCCAGTGAGGGCTTAATAGTTTCACCATGAATGCTTGTCCATTCACATGCAAATTTAGCATGCAGATAAAATACGACAAAATTTTCCACAAAGAAGAGATTGTATTTTATGCTGTGACATTTCTGTTCATTATTTCCTGGGATGTTAGACACTTTTAAAAGATAGATAAATTTGGCATGGAAACCTTCATTTCAGAGGGAAGTGTGCCTTTTTCAAAACGAAGGGAAAATATTACCATAACTAAGAAAATAATACTTAGCATTTTTAAACTGTCTTTTCTCCATGTGTCTCAAAAGCATATTGCAAAGAGTAGCCAAGACTGTGTCTTTCCCCCCCCAAAAAAAGGATTTTCTGTAGCAAAGGGAAAGCTGGTGCCCATAAGAGCACGTACTTTGATGCAAATGTGAGAGATGGAAGCCCACAAAAGCACTGAAAGCACACAGAAGAACTGAAAAGGTGCCTAAGCATCTGAGAGCCCCTTGAACAAGATCTGCCTAAGCGAGCATCTCCACGGAAAGCACGTTCCTCAGTGGATCAGGGACTCACGGCAGACAGTGGCATACAGTGGAGTTTTCTCGAGGCGGGGAAACCCAGGCAAGCATCGAGACCTGCTGGGAACCGGGTGGGACCACCCTAAGCTCCTGCAAAAGGCAGCGCTGGGAACACAGAGAACATGGCATAGAAGGGTGTGCGGGGAGGACAGGCACCTCTTGGAAGGAGAGACATTCCAAGGCCGCCTGCACAGGTCCGAGCACACATGCCACGTAACCCTGAAGGAAGAAAGGTGGGCACTTATCAGAGAGCAAATGCTGCAGCTCCAGCAGGGGTGACCTACACCATCTATGTTGGTGGTGGCCAATGCCTTCGCTCAGATGGAGTGGCTGAAGGGGGTGCCTGCAGTGGAGGGGGTTGTGAGGCACTGGAACAGGATGCTCAGAGAAACTGTGGAGGTGTGGCCCTGACTTTTGTGCACTCTGGCGGCGGTGCTCCCAAAGACCGTGGCCGGGCCGACGAGGGCGGCCGGGGCGCAAAGGCTGCCCGGCAGCTCCTGACTGGCCTTTCCGCGCCGCGTGTGAAGAACACAATGGCCTTGGAATTGTGGTTAGAACTTTAATCCGAAAGACCCATTTTCTTAAGCAGGGCTTAACTGCTGCCTGGCTTTTCAGAGGCAGCAGCACAGCGCCTGCAGGATCCATCTCCGTCTTGGCCGCGCGTGTAAACAGGTGAGGATGTGTATTGTCTGAGATGCCAGGGAGGAGACTTGGGATTCCTCGTGGCTTCTCAGAGCATGGAGGGCTGCAAGAGAAGGAAAGAGAGCAGAGCTGAAACCCACCAATCTGCAGAGACCAGCAGGCATCCCTTCCAGACCATGCCAGCCCCAGCCATCCCTTTCCCTGGTCAGGAGGCGCAGGCGGGGCAAACGGATCACCTGGAAGCTGCTGCTCAGGAATGCAACAAATGCCCCCGAGATGTTCCCTGGAGCAGGACAGGGCATGGCAGCACGCTGCCCAGGCTCTGTCCCCTGCCCCACCAGCCCCAGCACACACAGCACTGTCCCTGCTTACCTTCGCAAACCTCCAGGAGCGTGTCCGCGCGGCTCTCCTTCAGGCACCGAGCGGCCATCCCTGTGCAGAGAGCTCCATCAGACCTGCTGCTGCCCAGCACGCTGCCGGCAGCACGGCCCCGCCTCTGCCGGTTTGGCTGCACCCCTTCCTCCCCTCAGCAGGGTGACCCCAGGGAAGGACAGGACGCAGGGGGAGGTGGCACTGAGCAAGGTGCCACTGAGCCCCGCTGTGAGGGCAGGGGTTGGAGAGGGAAGCACAAGAGCCCCTGGCTGCACAGGCCTTGCACGGGGCAGTCGATGCTCTGGCAGCCACAGGGCTGCTCCTCGCTGCCAGTGCAGCAGATGGGACTGGGGCCAGGCTGCCAAAAGAGGGACTCCAGGGGCCGCGGCTTACCAATGAACCTCACAGCTGCCAGTCGCACGCTGACCTGAGCGTGCTGCAGGTAAAGCAGGCTCTGACGCACATATTCTTCTGCTCTGCTCTGCTCCTGCTCCAGCTGGAAAGAGCACAATGGCCCAGGGCTGACACAGACCTTCCCCAGTTGCCTGGGCCGTTCCCTCCTACCAGCACCCCACACCTCCCCTTGTTCCTCAGGCCATGTGTGTCTCCCAGCCAGGAGCCCTGTGGGGCTGAGGTTCAGAGACAGCTGCAGGCAGAGCAGGGTCTGGAGCTCCTGAGAGCCCCCTGTGCCACTGCCAGGGCCCAGATGTGCCTCCTGCAACATCCTGAGGGTGGGGAGGTGAGAGGAGCACCCCGTGTCCAGCCTGGGACTTGTCCTCACCAAGCGCTGCACAGTTTGCCATCTCTCCAGTGTCTGCACGTGGTGACTGAGCCATTCCCATTTGAGCACCTTCGCAGCTGCACAGATGGCTTCCTGAGAGGCCTGCAGAGGGGGACAAGGATTGGGGAGATTGTGGACAGGGCCTGAGACCCAAAGGCCTGGCCCTCAGCACTTGCAGGGACAGCTGGGAAGCCCCTGCGGACTCCGCTCTTCAGGCCTTGGTGGTCACGGACTGCTGCTGAGCCCTGCTGGACCACGTAGGGCAGGTGTGGGAAATGTCTGTGTCAGCTGCTCCTGCCCTCACTGATACCCAGGCCACCCCTGCGGGCTCAGCACACCCTGCCCCGCACCACGGCTTAGGTTTGGAATCCGTACCTTGGCCACGCTCTCGATCTCGTCACTCATGTGCAACATGAGTGGGACCAGGCTCCTCCGCACCTTCTTCTGCATCTGCCGCTTGTCCTTCCAATCCGCCATCTGTATTGCATCTTTGAAGAGGCAGATGGAGAGCTCTTGCGTCTGGCTGCACTCCTGGTAGGGAGGAGGACAGGAGGGCTTCAGTAACAGCTGCTCCCTGAGCCAGGGCGTCAGCGTGGCTGAGGGGAGGGGCCTCAGGTCTCCCAGAGCCATCAGCCTGTCGGGGAGAAGCTGGGCTGGGCTGCAGAGACCAGAAGCCATCCCCACGAGAGCGCGGGGGCAGAAGGAGAGGCTTAGCCCTGGGCAAGCGCTGCCGCCAGGCTGTGCTGCCGGGCAGTTGCTCTTGCAAAGGGCCCGTGAGTGGGACTCAGGTTTCCATAGCAGCCTTACATCATCAAAGAGTTGAAGGAGCTTCTCGGCCAGCTCCAGAGCGATGGAGCTGGCCTTCTTCTTCAAATGACCTATTACGTTTCTGAACGTGAGCAGGGCCTTCATCTTGTTGTCGCTGTGGGCGCTCTGCAGGGCCTCCATCAAGTCTGGCAGCATGACCAGTATTTTCCTTGCCTGTAAGAAGCACAGAATTTCTTTCTTGTGAAGTGGTGAAAGACCACCCAGGCCAAAATGCTCTGGCCATTAAGCACCAGCCTCCTGTCCGGCTGCATGGGCGGTGGCACAGGAATTCCTGCAGCAGCCTCCTGGCAGGCCTTGCCTGTGGGCGCACTGAGGGGATGGGGGCACGTGAGGGGACTTTGAGGGCATCTAGAGCCGTCACCCCAGGTCCCGACTCCCAGCCCAGGTCAAGCCACCGCGTTCCCCACTGCCCAGCACCAGGTGGCCAGCACGGCTTCACTTGACTATGCCCTGCTCACCGAGTCAGGTGACTGTGACAGTGTGACGAGGCCTTGGAGCACCAGGGAGAGCAGCCTTGGAGGCATCAGCAGCTTCCGGATTTCGTACACCCCAGCAAACATTTTTGGTGTCACATGGCTGGAGGCGAGCAGCTGAAACAAAGATGGCAGTGAGAGATGGACCAAGCCTGCAGGGCTCCCTGCACAGTACGGCCCCTGGGTCCCACTGGCAGCTCAGGGCAAGGGCACAGGGGACGGAGAGCCCATCCTGGGGGACACTCAGCGCTTGTGGGACACACCACACGCTTGTCTGTGCTGGCTCCGCCTGTGCAAGCAGAGCACTACCTGGGCAGACAGGGGCTTTGCGCACCCGCACCCAGTCAGCGTGGCCCTGCGTGGCTGGGGCAGGGGAACTTGGTGCTGGACTGGCCCTAAGGGGCTGTGTCCTCCTCTGGGACCGTATGGGGCAGATGGCAGGGGTGAGGGCCGTGCCCATTTTCCTGGAGAGGCAGGCACGGCCCTGAGCATGAGCAAGGAGTGGGCTGGTTACTCACAGCCAAGAGCTGGATGCAGGCCTCCGCTTTGTAGGTGCTGAATCTCCATGGCACACTCAGGTAGTGGAACCTGATGCTCAGCTCCCTCAGGCTGTTCTCCAAGATGAGGCGCTGGGAGAGCAGCACTTCCCACATGGCCATAGCAACACTGCAGACGCAGAGCACTCTGTCGGCAGGGCCACCTCAGCCACCACACGGTGCCTGGGCCAGTCCTGCAGCAGCCAGGCTGTCCTGCAGCAGCCAGGCTGTCCTGCAGCCCTGGCCCTTCCCGACCCCTTGCTTGGAGTGCCTGGACAGGCAGGAGGGGGCTGAGATAGTGTTCCCCATGGGGTAGGGAGGAACCTCGTGCCGGGACTCGGATCTAACTTGGCTAGCTTTGGCTACTGCAGGCCTGGCCGACCCAGCAGGGGTGGAGAGAGTGGGGGGGTGCAGGGCCCTGCTCCTCAGGGGTGCCCTGTAGTTTTCTGTGGGCCTCCAGCCCCTTCTCCCTGCATAGAACAAACCCACAAGGGCTGTGGGGGTCAGTACCTGTCACATTCTGGAGAGAGATGCACGAGTCGCAGGATCACATCCCCTGGCCACTGCTCTGCCATCATTAGAAGCAGCATGTCCAGGGTGTGCCAGACTGACAGTGTGTTGATGTGCTCCAGGTTATTATAGATGCAGCTAACGATGACTGGCACCTGGAGGGCACACGAGTGAGGGTGGTGCTGCCACCAGACTGCAGCCGTTTCCTCAGCTGCCACTGAAATGGCCGCCCCTCCCATCCTACTCTGCTGGTGTGAAATGGCTTCAAGGTGCCTGAGGCACCTGGGTGAGGCAAGGCCGATGTAGGGAGGAACAGTGCCTGAAAGGGCTCAAGGGCAGGGCAGCCACAGGCTGCTTACCTCCGTCAGCCAGGAGGCAGGTTCTGTCATGGCCACATCCACAATGCTGATCAGTTCCTCCTTGTCGCATGTGCATGAGTCTCTCATGGCCTCGATGGCCTTGACAAGGATGACCGTCTTATCAGGGGGTCGGAGGTCTTCCCCAAATGCCTGCGGGAGGAAGGAAGGCAGGGAAGGCGTCTCACACCGAGTGCCCTGATAGTGCTGCTCAGCTGAGCAGCGAGAGCAGCTCTGGCGAGAGTACCCACAGGAAAGCTGGCAGCAGGGGCTGCAGTCGCTGCAGGGTGGAGGATGAGAAGAGAGGGGCCTAGGGTGAGGGAGGAGGGCTGGGGCCGTGGGCACGGTGTGCTGATCCTACAGAGAAGCGGGGCTTCCTGGTGGCCAGGAGAGCTGGAGCTGCTGCTGGGACACCGGAGTGCAGCCCTCTGGAGTCCCTGCTCCAGAGCAGCAGCAGCCCTCTCACCAGGGACAGTGAGACCATGGCAAGCCTGCTCGTTCTGGACCCCTTTGCTCACACCAGTCTCCTGCTGATGCCCTGGACAAGGCCCAGCAAGGGAGAAGCTCATTACCTTTACAATGCTCCTGGTGCTGCACACGGAAAGCCAGGAGGGTTTCCCAGCTTTCCTTTCGCCTCCACACTGGGGATGCTTTAGATCATCCTCTGGTGATGTCACACCTAAACAAGAGGGGATCACAGGAGGGTCATTAGGACACAGCATTGCTTACCATCAATGATGGCTTTGGCTATGGGGACCACGGAACAGCTGGGTTCTGAGAGGTCCTGAGAAGAGTGGGAAGCAGAGCAGCACAGTACTGGACTTGTGGTGAGCATTCAGCTTCTGCAGCAAACCAGTAGCTGGGATGCTATTGGGAAAAGCTGGGAAAGCAGCTGTGAGGGGCAAAGGAGGTGAGGGAAGAGGGCAATCTCTCCTGGACAGCCTCCAGCAAGTACAAAAAGAATCCACTGCAGTGCTCAGGGAAACAAGCAGGACTACGAGGAGATGTCTGTGTGTGGAGGGATGCAGCCCAACACAGCTTCTCTTACATTTTTGCTGCTGGATGCATCTGCAGAGGTAATGAAGAGTATCCAAAGCCTCATACTGGATCTCCCAGATCTTGCTAGTCCAGCAAACAATGAGATGTCCCAGCAGCTGTCCCAGGAGGCGGTCATGGATAGCGTCGCCGTGGGAAGAGCTGTTGTCATCTGTAAGCAAGCTCCAGACCTGGGCAAGGGAGGCAGGATGGGTAGAAGGGCTGAGAGGCAGCAGCTGCGACAAAAGCCCTGAACCCGAGAGTCTGCCCCGGGGAAGGATCCTGGCACGTCAGAGCTCTGCAGGGCCCTCCCAGAGCAGCGAGCTGGGCAGCAGGGCAGGGAGAGCTGCCAGGCCTGGCCTCCCGCCATGCTCCTTGGGCAGTGCTGTCCTTCACAGGACTGGCTTCTGGAAGAAAGGGTGCTGGGGAGGAAAGACTGGGGGAAAAAGAAAGAAGCCGAGACCCTCGCCCAGGGCAGAGCTGTGCTGAATGCCTCAGGCATCTCGAGCTGCAGGCTGCTGCCCACGGTGGGCAGGGAATGGGAGACAGCCTGGCTGGAGGGTGCCTGCCTCCTTACCTGCACCGAGGAAGAGCTGTCCATCAAATCGACCAGCTTCCCAATCCTGACCACAGCCCTTTCACATGCAGCTGCATTCTTAGTGTCGGTGAAAGGCAGCAGCATCTGGAAGGAGAGAAAGTGCTGCTGTGCCCTGGGAACTGGTGCCTTTGCCAGCAGCAGCAGCAGCAGCAGCACTTCTCAAGTCCCGACTGGACCCATGCAGTTTTTGTGGCCCTGAAGGGAGGCAGAGGCCACCCCAGGGTAGAGTCTGCTTCTTTCTGCGCCCTCCCCGAAAGCACAGGCCTGTGTCCCCTCTCCATGAAGGCTGGGCTTTTGGGCAGCACCCTGCAAGGGGGCGGTGGGTCTGCAATGGGGGAATGGGCATACTGCTCTTTGGGAAGCCAGGAGTGCGGAGCGTCAGGGCTGGGCTCCCTGTGCAGGACAGGCAGGTTCCAGTGGGTCTCTGCCCCAGTCAGACCTGGGCAGAAAAGCAGGAGGGACTGCGAGGCAGGGGAAGAAGGACAGCAGCCACAGCCACTGCTGCGGTGCCTGAGGAGAGGGGTCAATGCTCCCCACTCCTTTGGTGCGAGGAAAGCTCTGGGGATGGAGCTGGCCCAAAAGTGCCATGGGCCAGGTTTTGCCATGGCACAGAAGGAGGCCGCAGAGGAGAAATGACGTTGACTGCAGCCAGGGGACACGCTGCTCCTGGAAGAGCACGGTGGGCCGTGTCTGAGTCCCCCAAGGGAGCCGAGCACCCTCTGTGCGGTGTGCTGTGTGCATGGTGCTGGGGAGGACACCGTCCACTCCAGAGTGGACACTCCTGTCCCTCCAGAGTGAGGAACAGCCCCTGCGAACCCCGCTCTCTGCCAGTGCCGCACCTGCAAGATAATCCTCAGGTCCTTGCAGCCAGGGGAGCTGAGCACCAAGCTCTTAAGCAGGATGTCCATGGCATCCAGGGTCTGCAAGGAGGAGAAAGGTTGTGTCAGTCTTTCTGCAGTCCCTCTCTCCCTGGGAATGGATCTAACTCCCCACGCCAGAGGAGGACACCCCTGCCACCTCTGGTTGGCCAAGGGAGGCCTTGGGGCAGACAAGCTGCGGCGGGCAGAGGAGCCAGTCCAGAGGCACTGGACATGGTGAGGCCCAGGGGAAGGAGATGAAGGGACGAGGGTGGGAAAGCAAAGCTGACACCCTGCCGTGCCTTGGATCTCTGGCTGTGTCTCAGCACGTGGCAGCCAGGGAGCAGCTCTGAGTGCTCCTGACAGCACAACAGCACTTACCTTAAAGTAGAGGAAATTGTCTAGGCCCTGCATGTCTGTTTTAGGAGGAAGCAAGAAGACACTCCTGAAACAGGCCTCTAAAAGGCTTTTCTTCTTGCCCCCCAGTGCCATCTCCACTTTGCTGAAAAGAGAGAGAGAGGGGCCTGTGAGACGCGGGTGCTGGGAGCGCTGCCTCCATGCCTTGGCCAGGTGGACACAGACCTCTGGAGCAGAGGCCCCCAAGCGGGATGGAGCCCTGGTGTGTGGGCAGCATTGCCAGGAGGCACCTCCTCCCTCCTTGGCATGGCCCAGGCCGAAGGACAGTCCTGGCAGGAAAGTCTCCCGCCTCCCACTTTTGGAAGCAGCTGAGACGTGGAGGGGCCCTGCAGGATCCCTCTGCTTTCCCCTCCATCTCTCCGCAAGCCGCGAGCAGGGCAAAGAGCAGGCCCTCTGAGGGCACCACTGGACTCTGCCGGGATGGGAGATGCCCATGGGCAGGCCCAGGGCCACGGACTGTGCAGAGGTGTCAGCCAAACCAGGGGTTGGGCACATACCTCATATGGGCGAGGGCAAGCATGGCTTGCTGCCGCACGGCCGTGTGCAGGTGGTCCACGGGCTCCTCTTCCACCAGCGCCTGCAGAACACAACCGGGATGGGACCTGGTGGCCGCAGGCACCAGGCGGCAGGGCTGGTGGAGACCCTCTGTCCCCAGCCCAGCACCGGCCCCCAGCACGGCCCTGCTGCAGGGCTGCTCAGCGACACCCGCATCCCCTCAGGCAGCTCAGTGTCTGTCCGCGCACGCTGGTCCCTGCCCTCCCCCTGCATGGGCCCCGTGTGTCCTCACAGTGTGCCGGCGCCTGGCAACTTGCCCCCTTCCCCAGAGCAGCCGGGGGTCCCCTCACCTCGATGTTCTTTGCCACCTGAAATCGGTGGTAGAACTCCTTCAGTTTCTGTGTGAAGCCCTCATCTCTGGCATCCTTGCTCAGGGTGGAGACGGTCTGCAGGAACCGAATCTTCTGAGCCTCCTCCTGGGCAGCCGGGGAGCAGAGACACAAACGGGCAGTGTGAGAAGGGGCCAGCAGGACTGGAGCACTGGGGCTGCAGTGCTGTGCAGGAGCCCGGGGGTGCAGCCGCGCCCAGCCAGCAGCCCCCAGCAGCCCTGGCAGCAGAGCCGGTGGCCCCGTCAGGAAACGCAGGCACTGCTACCCTGGAAATGGCTGTAATTACCTTCACTGAGCTCTCCAGAAAAGTCTGGATGAACTGCATGGATGCAGCGTGTCCCTCCGCCATCCTCATCAGACAAGGCAAAGGTGTAGCGCGGGGAACGAAGAATGTTCCAAGAAGTGTCTCGGCACCGCAGGGCTGCTGGGGCAGCGGGGAACAACGTGGGCTGCGCTCAGGGGTCTGCGCCAGCCTTGCGCTCCCGCTCTGTCCCGTCACTGTCCTGCCGGACACTGGCATGAGCGGTATGACCCGTTGCCTTTTATACGGTGGCCTGGGGGGTCACCTAGGGCACGTCACAAAGGGCACCATGGTGGGTCAGAAAGGGAACGTCACTGAGGGCACCATGGTAGGTCATAAAGGGCACGTCACTAAGGGCACCATGGTGGGTCAGAGAGGGCGTGTCACTAAGGGCAGCATGGTGGGTCACGACGAGAACGTCGCTAAGGGCAACATGGTGGGTCACGAAGGGCACGTCACAAAGCGCTGGTCACAGAAGGCACCACGGTAGCCCACCACTCAGACCGTGAGGGACAGGGTATTCCTGTGAGGGGCACAAGGCCTGTTCTCCCCGGTCACTTGAGTCCCCCCGGGGTGCCCTGAGCCCCATGTTTCGCTCATGTCGCATGGAATCTTGTTATGGCAAGATAACTGGCGTGTGTCATGATGTTCACAGCCAGACTAGTCAAGGGGTCTCAAAAAGACCATGAGTAGAACTGCACGCACACGTTAAACTGAACGAGAAAAACTTCTAAAGCAGATTTTTTCACTTGCTTTTTCTGTTTTTCAGGTACAAAAAAGCAATGATTAGGCTGCATTTTTAGGAAGAAAATAACTACCAAAAGCTTCAACTAGATTTTGAAAATATTCTGTTTCTCTGGATGATAACCAGCAAGTTTTCTGCAGCAATGAGCTCTGCCATTTAGACTCGAGGAAAAATGTTGCTTGATACTAAGCTTTTCTGGAGTAGCGGGTGTCAATTCAATGTGATTTTTGAAAGCATAAGGAGTCTTTTCTGAAAGTGTTTTATGAGCCTGTCCTCCCAACATGGTATCCCCTCATCGCTGGTACCCTGACAATTTTTATCAGGCGGATGTTTCTTTTGGAAAAATCCAAATTTTTTAGAATAATGTTATGTTTCAGAGAGTATGTTCTGGCATCTGCTGAGCCCTGGGGAGGAACAGCTTAATACTGGTTGATAGGCGAGTTTTGATGGGATCCTGTGATTTCAGATTTCCTGAAGCAGTGACCCTAAGTGCCTCAAAAAGCAGCAAGCAGGGATTTCTGCTTGTACCTATCTCTTCTGGAAAGCCCCAGTTATAATCATCGCTGCTCTGCCACAAAGCTGCTTGATCTGTGGGAAATCACTAAGCCTGTGTGTGCCGCTAGGACCTGTCAGCCCATTGGAGATTATTCTTCCCTGCTTCACAGAGCTGCGTATTAAAGTCTAGGAGATATGTAGACGTCGTGACAGTATGCAAGGAAAACCAATTGAATGACTGGGTCAACTGCTGAGGTGGGGGTCAACTGCTGATTTGGGGTCAATTGCTGAGGTGAGTAGCTGGATAGAGGACGCCTTCAACACCTGAGCGGGGGGAAGCTCAGCGTCCAGGAGCCTCAACTCAGAGCGGCACCAGCCACCGAGGGAGCCTCACGTCCTCGACAGGACTTGCCCAGGAGCCGGCAGCTCAGCTGACGCGAGCAGGGACTCACAGGGGGCGGTGCCCGGAGGAGCGGCACCAGCCCTGGCTGGGTAAAAACCTGCCCCGGGGATCGCGGCGACCAGGGCGGGTGGAGGCAGTTAGCGCGGGCAGGCCTGCGGGATGGGGAACGCTCGCCTCATGACCAGGGCCTGGTCTGGGAGCTGGGCTCTGGGTGCCCCGGCGATGGCCAGCGTAGGCACCCAGACAGAGCCGATGAGAGGGGAGGCTGCAGTGCAGAGGTCGGAGTGTAGAGAGTGCCTGCGCTGGGCTTGTGAGGGGAGGGTGCACAATGGGCAGGGCTGCACTCGGTGCTCCCTGGTGCAGGTCCTCCTGCAGCAGGGGCTGAGGTGCGGGATGCTGTCAATAGACTGCGAGATGTCAGGGAAGCTGAGAGGAAGCAGGACTGCTTGCTGCAGGCCCAAACTGTGCAGGGGCCTCAAGCGTCCCCTATAGTTCACGGAGGAAAGAAGGAGGCCGTTAACCCAGGAAGCTGGGGAACAGCACCAACAAAAAAAAGGAGGAAGAAGACAAAACCAAGGGGCTTCCTCGTAAATCTGTTGTCCCCACCCAGAACCGCTTTGCTGTCCTGCGGGGGGCTGATGAGGAAACACTTGCATCAGAAACAGCCGGCTGGGGTACTGCTAAAGAAGATCACTACTGGTGCTGCCGGGAAAAAGCAGCGGGTCATAGTAGTAGGGGACTCTGAAAGGCACAGAGGCACCCATCTGTCAGCCTGACCCATTCTCAAGGGAGGTGTGTTGCCTACCAGGGGCACGGATCAGAGATGTTGCAGAGAGGCTACCTGCTCTTGTAAGTCTCACTGACTATTACCCACTTCTAGTGATCTATGTGGGTGCTAGTGATACAGATAGCAGTAGCCTGGAGAACATAAAGAAGGACTACAGAGCCCTAGGAGAGGTGGTTAGGGGCTCTGGAGCGCAGACAGTCTTCTCATCAATTCTTCAGGATACAGGGGAGGACCCCAAAAAGGCTAGGAGGATTGGCCAGGTTAATAAATGGTTAGAAGGGTGGTACCATAGTCAGGGGTTTGGGTATCTTGGACACGGGACCCAAGTAAGTAGGCCAGGTCTAGTGGGGTCTGGTGGAGCTGGTCTGATAAAGAAGGGAAGAACAGTTTTGGTAGGAGGCTTGCCAGACTGGTCAAGGATGCATTAAACTAGATGTGTTGGGGGAGGGGGGCATCATTCCATCCCAACACACCCAGTCAGTTGCCAGCACCTATAATAAATGCTTGGAGCAATGTAGAGATACTCCAGCTGCTCCAGCCAATGAGCCGGCTTCATTTGGAGCTTGGCTCAGGTGCCTCTATACAAACGCCCGTAGCATGGGGAACAAACAAGAGGAATTAGAGATGTGTGCACGTCTACGGGGGTCGCAGAAACGTGGTGGGATGGCTCCTATAACTGGAGTGTTGGAATGGAAGGTTGGGCAGAGAAGAGATTCAGAGCAGCCCTGTAGAGAAGGACGTGGGGGCATTGATCAATGAGAAACTTAAGATGAGCAGGCAGTGTGCACTCGCAGCGCAGAAAGCCAACCGTATCCCGGGTTGCATCAAAAGGAGCGTGACCAGCAGGTCGAAGGAGGTGATCCTGCCCCTCTCCTCTGCCCTTGTGAGACCTCACCTGGAGTATTGTATGCAGTTCTGATGTCCTCAACATAAAAAGGAACATCTCCAGGGAAGGCACATTCCTCAGTGGATCAGGGACTCACGGCAGACAGTGGCATACAGTGGAGTTTTCTCGAGGCGGGGAAACCCAGGCAAGCATCGAGACCTGCTGGGAACCGGGTGGGACCACCCTAAGCTCCTGCAAAAGGCAGCGCTGGGAACACAGAGAACATGGCATAGAAGGGTGTGCGGGGAGGACAGGCACCTCTTGGAAGGAGAGACATTCCAAGGCCGCCTGCACAGGTCCGAGCACACATGCCACGTAGCCCTGAAGGAAGAAAGGCGGGCACTTATCAGAGAGCAAATGCTGCAGCTCCAGCAGGGGTGACCTACACCATCTGTGTTGGTGGTGGCCAATGCCTTCGCTCAGATGGAGTGGCTGAAGGGGGTGCCTGCAGTGGAGGGGGTTGTGAGGCACTGGAACAGGATGCTCAGAGAAACTGTGGAGGTGTGGCCCTGACTTTTGTGCACTCTGGCGGCGGTGCTCCCAAAGACCGTGGCCGGGCCGACGAGGGCGGCCGGGGCGCAAAGGCTGCCCGGCAGCTCCTGACAGGCCTTTCCGCGCCGCGTGTGAAGAACACAATGGCCTTGGAATTGTGGTTAGAACTTTAATCCGAAAGACCCATTTTCTTAAGCAGGGCTTAACTGCTGCCTGGCTTTTCAGAGGCAGCAGCACAGCGCCTGCAGGATCCATCTCCGTCTTGGCCGCGCGTGTAAACAGGTGAGGATGTGTATTGTCTGAGATGCCAGGGAGGAGACTTGGGATTCCTCGTGGCTTCTCAGAGCATGGAGGGCTGCAAGAGAAGGAAAGAGAGCAGAGCTGAAACCCACCAATCTGCAGAGACCAGCAGGCATCCCTTCCAGACCATGCCAGCCCCAGCCATCCCTTTCCCTGGTCAGGAGGCGCAGGCGGGGCAAACGGATCACCTGGAAGCTGCTGCTCAGGAATGCAACAAATGCCCCCGAGATGTTCCCTGGAGCAGGACAGGGCATGGCAGCACGCTGCCCAGGCTCTGTCCCCTGCCCCACCAGCCCCAGCACACACAGCACTGTCCCTGCTTACCTTCGCAAACCTCCAGGAGCGTGTCCGCGCGGCTCTCCTTCAGGCACCGAGCGGCCATCCCTGTGCAGAGAGCTCCATCAGACCTGCTGCTGCCCAGCACGCTGCCGGCAGCACGGCCCCGCCTCTGCCGGTTTGGCTGCACCCCTTCCTCCCCTCAGCAGGGTGACCCCAGGGAAGGACAGGACGCAGGGGGAGGTGGCACTGAGCAAGGTGCCACTGAGCCCCGCTGCGAGGGCAGGGGTTGGAGAGGGAAGCACAAGAGCCCCTGGCTGCACAGGCCTTGCACGGGGCAGTCGATGCTCTGGCAGCCACAGGGCTGCTCCTCGCTGCCAGTGCAGCAGATGGGACTGGGGCCAGGCTGCCAAAAGAGGGACTCCAGGGGCCGCGGCTTACCAATGAACCTCACAGCTGCCAGTCGCACGCTGACCTGAGCGTGCTGCAGGTAAAGCAGGCTCTGACGCACATATTCTTCTGCTCTGCTCTGCTCCTGCTCCAGCTGGAAAGAGCACAATGGCCCAGGGCTGACACAGACCTTCCCCAGTTGCCTGGGCCGTTCCCTCCTACCAGCACCCCACACCTCCCCTTGTTCCTCAGGCCATGTGTGTCTCCCAGCCAGGAGCCCTGTGGGGCTGAGGTTCAGAGACAGCTGCAGGCAGAGCAGGGTCTGGAGCTCCTGAGAGCCCCCTGTGCCACTGCCAGGGCCCAGATGTGCCTCCTGCAACATCCTGAGGGTGGGGAGGTGAGAGGAGCACCCCGTGTCCAGCCTGGGACTTGTCCTCACCAAGCGCTGCACAGTTTGCCATCTCTCCAGTGTCTGCACGTGGTGACTGAGCCATTCCCATTTGAGCACCTTCGCAGCTGCACAGATGGCTTCCTGAGAGGCCTGCAGAGGGGGACAAGGATTGGGGAGATTGTGGACAGGGCCTGAGACCCAAAGGCCTGGCCCTCAGCACTTGC